AATGTCGGGCATATACCCATCGAGCTGTTATCGACCCTTTGCTTCTTCGTGAAACATGAAGTGAACATTTCAGCTAAAGTGATACAGAAAAACTATCGAGCAAGCAATTTGGAACAAGGTGGCCTTGAGGTCCCTATTTAAGTGCAATGCGCGATTTCCTCCCAGAAAGGACAACGCATGAAGAGACTGAAACAACTTCTAAACAAACGCTGGAGGGATCCTCGCGATTCAAACGACAGTGAGCTCAAGAAAGAGAGTGCGTCAACGAATGAATGAAATGAATGAAAAACTTTATTTAAGTGTCTATGTTTTTAGCCATAAGCTAATGGGGGACACTAAAAATTTAAAAAAGTCAAATAGATTTACAATAATACAAAATGAACACGGATACATTGCTATATCTTATTTCGCTGTGCAGCAACTAACCCAGTTATATGACGCCGGTATTTTTCCTTTGAACGTTTATTAAAAGACCAAAACAGCATACTGTACTTGGTATGTCGTAGCACTGCCATCCAAGAGGTTACTATTTACTTTTAATCGGTCCTTGTGACCTCGACACCGAATAAATGCCGAGGCCCCGATTAAATGCCGAGGCCCCGAATAAACGTCGGGGCTCCGATTAAACGCCCCCGGCGTTTAATCAAAATTCGGCAGTTTTGACCCGGCGTTTTTTTCGAGGTCGGCGTTTAATCGAGGAATATGGTAAGTGTTTGAGGGATTAATTGCACTACAATAATTTTTCAAGATCTAGAACATATCCATGTTAGAGCAGCCAGGATTATACACAAGATACCAGAAACAGTCCCAAACCACCGGGTCAGCTAGATAATATAAACTGGAAAAACATCTTTTACCTAAATAAAAAAGAGACTTGCTTGCATCACCTTTCAAGCCTATCAGGAATTGTCCCCTGATCCAATCAAAAAATAAATACAGCAAATAAGCTAATAGCTGTGTGGAGTTGATTGATCATGAAAGAAATATATTTCCCAATGATAATTGATATTGATAAAGGCTGATACTTTCTAAAGAAACTGTTTGGGGCTGCGTCGGTGGGGGTAACGAAATAATTTGGATATATCAACAAAGTTGAAATGGTAAATTGACCACCGTAAAGATTACAAAAGCTGACGTTTCGAGCGTTAGCCCTTCGTCGGAGCGAAGGGCTAACGCTATCTTTACGGTGGCCAATCTACCATTTCAACTTTGTTGATATATCCAAAATAATTTTTATTGCATTGGTATTGAGAAACTACGCTTAAATTCGTCGTTAAAGATCCCAGAAGTAAACGAATGATACATGAGATGGAATATTCCGAGATCTGTAAAGAGGCATCTCATATCCAACAGAGATATAAGACGTACACCGCATCAATCGCTATATACACATTATGGCAAGTTCGCTTTTTGCTTCTGGTATTTCGAAGATTGTTCTGTAGCTGCTGGAGTTTTTTTAGGACATTTGACGTTCGTTTTCAATTATGCAAATTAGAAATGAACCCAGGTACAGCTGGAAATTTTGATGTCTTTACGTATCACCCAAGTTCTATACATACGTACATGTTTATTCAAATTTATATATACAAAATTTGAAAAGTGAAGTTTAGAGGTTAACCCTATAACAAGACTTCCCTGAAAAGCATTGCGCATGGCTCACTAGACTTTTCTAGTTTGAGCACTCTGGCGTAGCTTAGACGATACCACAAATGTGGGATCGTTCGGGGTAAGCATATCGGTTCTTCCCCATTCTGGCTTCCGCACTGCACTGATGAGGCCCAGAAGGCCGAAACAGCTAAAAGCTTCTCGGCCTTGAAAAGTGCTTTTTTACCGTATTGTCATTCAGCATTTCGGAATGGGAAGTCAGAATAGCAGCCAATTGAAAAGTACTGGTGCCGAAACCGACACCACTACGTCGTGGAGTGCCATGCCCGAAGTGCAAATCCCAGATGATCTCAAGCATTTAGAGAGAAAAGGTGTAAAATTCACGGGCGTCCCAGGGCATCCATTGCCAAACACCGTTCGGTCTACTTCAGTGTTGACACAATAGTCACCTCACAAGTCATTCTAGAAGCCTTCGATGCCGCTGGCATAGATACAGATACTATAACCTGCATCCAAAGGAAGACCTCAAACAAATCGTGGATCCATATGATACACGATCCTCGCAGTAGATAGCGCTATTTATGCAATAGCGAAAATCAGACCTGAAAAAAATCAGGCCTGTACGGGATTCGAACCACTGACCTCTGCGATACTAGTGCAGCGCTCTACCAATTGAGCTAACAAGCCAACTGGGAGCAGGCCGTTAAGTTGATTCGTAATAAACCCGTGATGATAAATCAGATACAATGAATATATGAAGTTCATATATTTTGAACTGCGGTATTAGATACGTATGATGCACGATCCTCGCAGTAGAGAGCGCTATTTATGCAATAGCGAAAATCAGACCTGAAAANCAACCCCCCACCTCCACCATCAGCGAAAACTGAGGAGGAAAAAGACCAGGAGAGGGAAGAGCGGGCCAGACGAGCGAAAGAACAACAGGAAAAGGAGGAAAAACGAGAGCAAGACAACAACGGCAACGGCAGGAGCAACAACGGCAACAACAGGAACGGCAAAAGCAACAAAGGAAGGATGAAGACAGAAATAGAGAGAGCACAAGGGGAAACGAAGACGAGAAAAGAAGAGATCACGGAAAGAGAGAAGAGCGAAGAGACGAGCGATGGGATGAACGGGATGAACGAAGAAGAAATAGAGACGATCGGGAGTACCCCCAGCCGGGATGATCGCAACAGATCTTCCCACCGCGATTATTCAGACAGATCTTCCCACCGCGATTATTCAGACAGATCTTCCCACCGCGATTATTCAGACAGCGAAACCGACGATGGATGGCACAGGGTTAGATACAAGAGGAGGTAGAGATTAAAGTTTTTAATTTATCTCAATGAATAGGCTCAAAATAACCTCTTTAAATGTGTGATGACTCGGGTCTTCCAGCAAAAATAGGAAAATTAATCAAGAATTAGGTCATTTGAATTGTGATATCATTCTTTTAGAAGAAACGCACGTTTCTTGCAAAAAGCACGCAGAGGAATTCGAAAAACTCTGGCGCGGCGATTGTCTGCGGTCCTTTGGGACAGGCAAGTCCGCCGGCGTTGCCATTCTTTTTTCTTTAAACTTCCCAGGAAAATTTATTCGTTTTTTGACTGACTCAGACGGAAAAATATTGAGCTTACTCATCGATCGTTATCATTCTAAACTTAATTTAGTCAATATCTACGCTCCCAATGCTACCTCAGACCGCAATAGCTTTTTCTCTCATCTACACAATTACTTTTTCTCCCAAGGGGATCTGGTGATCGGGTGAGACTTTAATTGTGTAGACAATGTCCTAGATAAACTAAATTGTTCCGCTATCCCATTGTCTGATCAAAAACTTCTCCGATCCCTTTGTGCTGATTTCTCACTTA